CAGATCCGGGTGATTCCGGATCTCCTGACTTTCTGCCGCGCCCTCAAGACATGGCTTTTCCAGCAAGCGGGCCTGGCCTAGGGAGGATTTTTAAATCGGGTTCATTTTTAGAAAATTTTAAATATCACAACTTAGAATATTTGGGTTTTAATTGGTTTTATTCGGCGGGGATTGTGGGTTTGTTTTTGTTTTAAAAAAAAATGTGAGCCGCCCTGAGTCCCTCGGGAGAAGGGCGGGATACAAATTGAATAAATGAATTGAACTAAATCAATCACACAAGAATGAAATCTTTTGGACACCTTTCAAGCATAAATCAGCACATTCTTTATCCAAATTTGTCAAGGTTGAAATGTGAATTATTGGTGTACCATAATAGAATAAAAAATGCTAAGTTCATTAAAAACATTTTGAGTGATCCCGATTCATTACAAGGCACATACATGATACAACCAAAAACACTAGCCTCATATACAGAATTACGGCAGGGCCATGTTAAACATGTTGACTGAATTGCTTCCCAATAGAAACTGCTTATAATAGCCAACCTAATTTTTTATTTCAAAGAAGCAACCATTGATGATAAACTCAGTTTTGGGATAAGGTTTTCCTTATAATATCAGATTTGTCTGTACAAGCTATTTAAAGCTTGGTAGCCTAGAAGCATGTAAGGAAGATTTAAAAATCTAAAGTATACCTTGCAAACATTTTATACTTTATAGCCAAACCTTAATGATAAAGACAGAAGACTGACAATCAAATTGCAGCAGCATAGAATTTACTCAAAAACATATTCTGTGTGGTATTCCCAGCCAGCACTGCAGTTCTTGTCCTGAATTCACACTAAAAGTCTAATTTATTAGGACTAGAACTGTTTAATCCCATGAAAATATCATTTCCATAGCTATGCAGTACTTTTTGGGCAATATCCCAACTGGAAGGACATCATGTCATTCCTGAGCATAAGGTTCTCAGCAATACATTCTGAAGAAAAATATATATTACCGTATTTCATTCTTCAGAATGGCAGAGAAATGAAATTCTATCCGAAAGAAAAATCCCACTGAGGTTCACTTTCCCACACATCTTCAATGTAACTTTAAATATTAGGACATTAATATTTTGGCCAACCACACTTCCCAAGAGACTCCTTGCTAAATATATAATGCCACTCAGCATTTCATTTTTTTCACATGATTTTCAATTGCATTTTCAACAATGGTCTCATCTTCGTCAATATTGACCTTGACTTTCTTGCCAACCAATTCATAAATATCTTCTGGTGGATATCCTTTGGGTTCCCCCACTTTTATAGTGAGCATGTCCAACGTGAGCATGGTGCCTTCTGGGATCCTGACTTTGGCAACCACGGATTTTCCCAACTGCAAAAAGTGAAATTCAAGAAGGCTAAGTTATTCTATGGAGAACTTATGACTGAAGTGCCATAAATCATTCAAGCAACATAGATTTCAGACAAATCTGACCTGAAGCAGGAGATAGAGGAAATGACTGTGTGCGGTAACATATACCACAGCAATATTGCCAAACACTGTAGAGTTCATTCATGGAACGTTTGCTAGGTTAGATCAGAATGAAAAGCCATAACAAAATTTAAGAAATCTGTTGGGTAGCCAAAGATCTAATTCTATTTCTGCCTAGAAGCTCATTTGCAATTGTTACAATTTGTTTAAAACCATGATGTTGTCTCCCCACAAATGGTAGTCATCAGCTGTGAACTTAATATTGCACTTGAACAGCAAGAATACTTAAATTTCAAGTGGGACAGAGAAGGTGACCCAACCTTTTGCATACTTTTCACAATGAGACCATATTGTCAATACATAAAGAAAATGCTGGCCATGGTAGCAGAATTTTTCACTTATATAGAAGGGTGCCCCAGTGGCATAGCCATATAGCAACCGGTCAACTGATAAGACTGCATCACTCTGGCTACGCTACTCGTGTGAAAGCTGAACCATTATTGGAAGTTATAACGATTCAGGAAGCTAATTATTTAATCAAATATTCATCATAACAAATATTAAAAAATGAAGTAGCCAAGGGAGTTATCCTCAAATAGCAAGATTAATTTTAGCCATTACTGTCATGTGCAGCACCTACTCCATACTAACTGATCTTGAAAGTATGGCCAGATCCGGCTAGTACTTTGAAAGGAAACTATTAGGGAATTCCAAAACTGGAAAGGCAGAAAAACATTCCTGAAGAAGGTAAGGACAATCATTTCTGCACCAAGGAATCTATAGAGATGCCTCTAAGCCAGTGGTGGAGAACCTATGGCACGGGTGCCAGAGGTGGCACTCAAAGTCCTCTCTGTGGGCACGTGCGCCGTCGCCCCAGTCCTACGTCTTCAGCTGGATTTTATAAAACCTTTTCGCTTTAGGCCTCCGCCGCCATGTGCAAAAAAAAAAAAAAAAGGTTCAGTCAGTCAATTTCAACTTCTCGCGGGGAAAAAAAAGATCTTGCAAAGTTGGAATTGATTGATTGAACTTTTTAGTCTCACCCAGTCTGCCGTTACCACTGCAGCCATGCCCACCCAATGGGCCACGCCCACCCAATGGGCCATACCCAGCCAATGGGCCACACCCACCCAGCACTCGACGATGCATGTGGGTTTTGGGTTGCAGTTTGGGCACTCAGTCTCTAAAAGGTTTGCCATCACTGATCTAGGCAAACATCAGGAACCAAAATCAATTCAACAGATACTTCACCTTTTACCTTAATGCCTATGGCCCAGAACAGTGGTAATCATGAAATATTTAAGCATTTTCAGGATTATTTGGACAAAGACTCTATTTTCCAACTTGACGCCAGACGAGTTGACTGGGTAGTATAAATAAGAAAAGTGGTGCTATGACATAAGTTTTGGCCCTTTGTATGTGCATTGTGACATTACATGCTCATACAAAAAGAGTTAACACATCACAATTATAGGATGCTTTTTTTCATCATTTTGACAACAGCTTCAATCCTGTGGGATCTCTCTTGCAGGACTACATACTGGTGCTCAAGTAATTGTAATATTTTAATATGATTAAAAAGGAAAAATAAATGTACTGGGGTGAACTGTATTAACTGTAGATTATTTTATGCTGAACAAATTTAGCATTTTTCCTATTTTCATTTATATATTTGTTTTGGCTTTGCCTGTCTTTGGTAATGGAGCCTTGATATACTAATCAAAAGCCAACAATTGGTCCAAAAAAGCTAAGCAGCCCTAAACTAGGGAGATAAAATTATGGAGCCTTATCTTCCAAGTTGTCACTGTAGAATAATTACTGCAAGGTTCCTACATTCCAATTGTACAATCCGTTGCCCAGCAACCAATTATGGAGTAGTTTTATGACTGTTCCCACATCAGCACTTAACTAATGCTGGTGTTTGTTGTTCATTGTCCAACATGATCACATCTTCTGGTTTTCAAGGTTCTAAATTCACATTTACACCAATTTGACATTCCATGATAGTACAACTGCAGTAATGAGTATAAAAAAACAGCCCTGCAGTTCAAATCACAAACAATGCTTTGTCCACTGAAGTAGTTTGAACACTACTACATGATGAACCTGTGGGCAGTACAATGAGACAGCAAACACTTTATAATAGGCTGATGAGAAAAAGTCTTGGTTTTGGAATTCTACAGCCAAATGTGTACTATTCCACCTTTCTTCCAATAAACTTAAAACTGACACATATGGAATTCGCAGACCATTTTTTATGCAGGCACAAACCAGATCCACACTGATTTAGCTTCAGCAAGGGTGATTGCTGTCACCAGGCTATGCCTAATGACTATGAATGCACGTATAGTTTTGGATGATTAATCTATCAGACTAAGGATTTTGGTTCTGAAATTTGCAGAGATTGCTGAATTAACAGCTCCTACTTGTCCTAGAGCCTGGGAAAAGAAAGAAAGAAAGAAAGAAAGAAAGAGAGAGAGAGAGAGAGAGAGAGAGAGAGAGAGAGGAAAGAAAGAAAGAAAGAAAGAAAGAAAGAAAGAAAGAAAGAAAGAAAGAAAGAAAGAAAGAAAAAGAATGAATCAATCAATCTATGGAAATCAGACTTTCACAAGAATGAAAGCAGCATCACACTGCAAGCTCCAAATTCCCTGGAATCTGCACATGACAGCATGAGACGGGTAGGACTAAGGGAGAGTTTGCATTGCTGCTTCCATCATGGGATGCTCACTTGCCCGTCCCCACAGACACCTCTGCTCTGAGCTTTGGTTTAGCAATAATTGGAAAATTCAGTACCCACCTCTCTGGTACCTGACCAAATCAGGCAGGCCTACTAGTAACAGGATTAAGTCAACTGCTTACTCTCAGTGCTTACTCTCAGTCGTCCAGAAAAATGTAGAATATAATTCCTGCCTTCAAGAAATTACCTTTTCATTGCACGCTTCTTCACAAGGCAAGAGCTGTTTGACTGGGGATCCCATGGCTTTCTCTACCATCCGGATGCTTCTCACCAATTCTGCTAACTCTTTGGGCTCCAGTGATGCTTGATGGTCATTGCCTTTCCAGGTCTTGTCCAAAGTGATGTGGCGCTCCAATATTTTGGCCCCCATCGCCACTGCAGCAATAGAAATGGCTATCCCAGTCTCGTGACCTGAATAACCAACAGGAATATCTGGGAAGGCTGAGCGGTATTCCTAAAATGACAATAAAATGGACAGAAATTGCCAGCGCGAAGTGGCTTGGCTCACTCATGTTTAATATGAAAGTTCCTGTGTCACAGTCCAACACAGGCATAGTCATCAGAAAAAACAGAAGTACCTTTGCAGGCTTATTCTACATAGAAGGTTCTCACACCAAAAACCTACCTAGCCCTGAGATGGAAATCAAATTTTTTTTTTAGGAATTATCACAGCTATACTCTTCTACATCGCTATATTCTCCCAGAGTACTCCAGACATTATTCCCCACTGACCGTTATGACACGAAGATTGACGTCTTCAGGCTGAAGGGGGTATGCACTGGTGCACTGAAGAAAACAGAAATTTGGGTTGATGGGCTTCACCAGCTTGTAAACCTGCTGCATTGTGCTCATTGACTGCATCCCACTGGAGATCACCATTGGGCGACCTGGAATGAAAAGCCAGGGCAGCATTCTTACTTTTACTAAGGTTGACTTTCTATCACCAAGTTATATCAACTGATACACTATCAATGAATAATCTTATCAAATATATCCTCCATTTCATATGGATAGATCTCAGTCTATCTGCATCATTTCTTTTCCTCTTCCCAGAAGTAATGTGGCTCCATTCTGTCTACTCCACAATACAGGTTTGAATTTTCCAATTATTGTATACTCCAAATTGGCACACTTAAATATTCCTATTCTGCAAGCAAGAAAGGAAGATGTGTACCCATCTTGAAATTTTCCATGAAAGAGCTTCCAGCTAAACATTTTTAGAAAGTCCTTCTAATGCAGGAGTGTCCAACTCTGGCAACTTTAAGACTTGTGGACTTCAACTCCCACAATTCCTCAGCCAGACTGGCTAGGGAATTCTGAGAGTTGTAAGTCCACAAGACTTAAAATTTGCCAAGGCTGGACACCCCTGTTCTAATGCTAGATTTTAATAGGGTCCATAAATCCATCTTCCATGTTTTATGATTTTTACCCAGGGTTAATATTTTTGTTGGTTTTATGGCAGAATAATTTAGATAGATAGATAGATAGATAGATAGATAGATAGATAGATAGATAGATAGATAGATAGATAGATAGATAGATAGATAGATAGATAGATAGATAGATAGATAGATAGATAGATGATAGATAGATAGATAGATAGATAGATAGATAGATAGATAGATAGATAGATAGATAGATAGATAGATAGATAGATAGACAGACAGACAGACAGACAGACAGACATAGATATAGATGGGTGGATGATAAATAGATAACCTTTATTTAATGTGGGCACAATGGCACACATTAAAAATTAAATTTAGTTGCTTGCTCTCAAAGTGTATACATACATAACACACATTTAAACATACTATGTACAATATATGTAGACCTACACCCTTACATATAAGTAACGTATAAATATTAATCACGGTCCATCTTGAATACATAAAGGAAGGAGGAAGCTTGAGAGTTCACAAGGTTAATACTGTATTGAACAAAACTGACTGAACCTGGATGTTCTGCTTCGGATACCACAGAGCTTCCTCCCAGAAGGTAACAAGGAAAACAGGTCGTGAAGAGGATCTGCAGTGTCCCAGACAATCTTACAGACCCTGCTCAAGCAACGTTTATGTGCTATGTCCTGGATGGGAGGGAACTGCCAATAATCTTTTCAGCCATCCTCACCACTCTCTGCACTGCCTTCCTGTCTGAAGCAGTGATGCTTCTAAACCAGACTGTGATGCTATATGACAGGAGGCTCTTGATCGTCCCTCTATGGAAGGTGGTAAGGACAGGGGAAGGATGATGTGCTTTTCTCATGTGACGCAGAAAATGCAGGCGCTGCTGTGCCTGCTTCACCAGTGACTCGCTGTTGAGAAACCAAGCCAGCCTACTTGTTTACTGCACACCCAGGAATTTGATGCTGGTAACCTTCTCCACAGGTGAATCATTAATGCACAGAGAAGTGTGGCTGTGCTGCCTTTTCTGAAATCAACAATGGTCTCTTTGGTTTTTCCAGTATTTAAAACTAGTCTGTTTTCCTTACACCAGTTCATCAAAACCCTCAACCTCCTTGCGGTAAGTACCCTCATTGTCATCATGAATAAGGCCCACTACTGTTTTACCATCTGCAAACTTCACAATATGGTTGGTAGCAAACCTAGCACAACAGTCATGGGTTAACAGGGTGAACAGCAGCAGACTTAGGATGCAGCCCTGAAGAGAACCTGTGCTCAATAAAATGGCGTTAGAAATATTTGTTCCAGCTTGCACATATTGGGGCCTGTTAGTAAGAAAATCAAGAATCCAGTTGCACAAAGGAGTGTTTAAGCCTAAAAGGCCCAGTTTGTCTACTAAATGCTGGGGAATGATTGTGTTAAATGCCGAAAAAAATTACAATTTATTTTAGACACTATCCTAAAAGTGACAAGTTTGCCAACTTATTTTAATTACACTCAAGACATTTCTAAATGTTCATCTCTTAGTTATGAGTTCAAAAAGACAAGAGTCATGTTTGAGGGAGTCCATGAAGAGAAACCTTTTCTTTGAAGAATATCATTTTATTACCATCAATTTTACTCTAAACCGAAAAAAACATCCTTAAAAAGTGATGTACTGTATTGTGGGCTAACATGCAGAAAAAAGAGAAAGGATGTTTCATGACATGAAACAGTATGGAAAGCTATTTTTAGATCTTCCTGACAGTGGTAAACCCATCTTTTCCTAAGTTAAGGAACACCCCACACACCTCAATGACACCTCACAGCTCACCAACCACAGTTGACCAGGGCCTAGGAATGGATGAGGCTAGGAAAAATATACGCTTTATTTAAATTCACCAAACGAATGAATTACTGTTAAAGTTACTATTTCCTGTGTATCTGCTCCTTTTTTTCCAGTGTAAAATGACCATTAAGTAGCAGATTCTGAAGGGCCTGCTTCCAAATCATTTAAGTAGCTCAGGGGCAGGCAACCTTGGCTCTTTTATGACTCGTGGACTTCAACTCCCAGAATTCCTGGGCCAGCCATGCTGAGCCATGCTGGCTCAGAAATTCTGGGAGTTGAAGTCCACGAGTCATAAAAGAGCCAAGGTTGCCTGCCCCTGAAGTAGCTATACACTCCTGCTCTACAGAAAGAAGTGAAGCAAAAACCACCAGCATTCAGACATTGTAAAAAATCAAATGTATTATTCTTTTAGGAGAACTTTGTCAAGGTGGGCCCAGTTACTGAGAGGTCTGCTGAGAATCAAAAAGATGACTTGGAGAATTGCGTCTTCTCTATCAAGTTCCTTGCTACATCTGGAAGAAAAGAACACACCAGTATCTGCCAGTGGTTAAAACCAAGGCAGTTGCACATACCACACACATCCTCCCCTTCTGGCATTTATTTCCTGCACTTCTGGCAGGAGTAGCCTTTGTCAGCTGCAATTCCTTCTTTGTCTGATCAATGGAAGGAGCAGATTTAGTCTAACTGTTCTCTTCCAAGCTGTTCTACTGGGGAGTCCAAAACATGGAAAATAAAATGCTTCCACATACTCATCGTATCCAAAAGAAGGAAATAAAAAAAGATTTTAATCTTTTAATTAATAAAAAAGGATTATCCTTTGGATCCGATAAATAAGTCAACATCTGAAGATATTTTGAGTCCAAAAACAAGTTTCATAGTTGCTGCAAAGACGATGTGGCCTTAATTCTCCTCTATCTCTCCTTAATAGAAATAATTTTGCAGTGTGACATCAATATGTTAAATTTCCCACATACCCATGCCTATCACTGGAAACTGAATTTTGAATCTGAAATGTAAAATACTCTAATTTACAATCAGACAATTATTGCTCTGTGTGTGTGTGTGTGTGTGTGTGTGTGTGTGTGTGTGTGTGTGTGTGTGTGTGTGTGTGTGTGAAAGAGAGACAGAGAGACAGAGAGACAGAGAGAGAGAGAAGAGAGATGGCTGTGCATTTTATGCATTCTTTGGACATAGGTGCATGTGAATTCACATTCATTTATACAAATGAAAACAGGCAGTTGCACATCCATTATTTTACCTGCTCCCACCAAATTACCTTTTTGGGCTGTCTTCTCCAAGTATGGGAAATTATTTGTATCCCCCGATCCAACTTTAAAAAATGGAACATCCAGTTCATGCAGAAATTCTACAGCCATCTATTGAGAAAGACACACACAAAAAGCAAAATCAAAACAAAATCTCCAACTAGATGAAAATTAAGAGAAGGATTAAAAGGCAATTATAGCCATTACCAAAATCAAGAAAGAAAATTTGCTAAATATGTTTATCAATTTCTTCAATCTACAAAAACAGTTGTTTTCTTTGATCCACAGCATGGCTCTTCATGTTGTTCAACATTAAACTTTCATCAATTTGGGTTCCATTTTCTGAAGTCAAAACACGATAGGCTCTGAAACTCTAACCCCACTTCTTAAAATCCCCCTAAAATATATTCTGCTATTCTCTCCCCTGTGGGAAGAAAGATTAAAGGTGCCAGGAACAAGCAGATGAAATGTGTAAAGATCTGAAGTAACCAAGCCAAGGAAGAGGCAAGAAATGTCAATAAGTCCTGGGAGTGCTATTGTAGGAAGTCTCTGGCCCCCTTAGTGTGGGCAAGCTCAGAAACTGCAGCTCCTTTTAAACTCCAAATTCCAAATTCACAACTCTTACTTCATCCATGCCGGATGCTGTGAAGAAAATGCCAATCTCCTTAGCGTATCGTTGCAGCTCTCGGTACTGATCGTGACTGAACTCCAGGTGGCGCTTGTGTTCCCCATAGGTTCTCCCCCAAGAGTGTTTGGAGATGTAAGGCCTTCCCAAAGCTCTCCGGTTGAATTTATGCTCCAATTCGCTTTTCTGGAACTTGGCACAGTCTGCTCCGCAGTCCTGCAAAGAGACAACCCCAGGAAGACTTTCATAAGGCCGCTTAACACGCCAACCTCACAACAAAGATTGTGACAGATACCAGCTCCATATTTATTTTATTTATTTAAAACATTTATGCAGCCGGCCAACTTATAACAAACTTCAGATAGCTCTCAATCAAAAATTAAAACAACATAAAACCCATACTAAACCTACCTGAGCAGGGGGTTGGACTAGATGACCTCCAAGGTCTCTTCCAACATTATTCTTATTCTTATTCTTATTCTTATTCTTATTCTTATTCTTATTAATATTAATATTAATATTAATAATAATACATTGAAAACAAAAACCTGGTGCCAGGTCAAGCTTCCGATGTGCAGTCACCTCATCTTATCCCAACGCTTAAGGGGAAAAAGTAACATCTTCAAAGCTTTACACAAGGCTAGGCAGGTACAGGCTTGCCAAACCTCAGGGGGCAGAGTGCCCTATAGGGCAGTGGCTGTTATAGAAAAGGCATGCTTGCTAGCTCCCATCAGGTGACAATATTTAGGGGAAGGGGCTAGGAGCATGCCCACGCTATCTGACCTGCCAGAAGAGATGGGTAGATGTCCTTAGGGAAAAGTAGTCTCCCAGATAGCTTGGCCCTGTGCTACATAGTTCTTTAAAGGTGATGACCAGCACCTTGGATTGCACCTGGAAAGAGAATGGAAGCCACTGCTGCTTGCACAATGAAGGCATTACATGGGCATACCTTATAGGATTATAGGAGGCCCACTTCCTGTTATTCAGGACACTGCTTATAAGGGCTATGTGCTTAGAGCTCGAAGCATTATTAGAGACCCCACACACCCACTTCACGGTCTGTTTCTGTTGCTCCCCTCTGGGAGGAGGTTTTGAAGTATTTCTAGCAGGACTACCAGATTCTGTAACAGCTTTGTTCCCTATACCACCTGTCTGGTAAACTCACAAGATTCATTTTTCTCGCCATGTGTATGTATACATCCAAACTAGAATGTGTTATTTCTCTGGGCCACGTATGTGTGTGTATGTGGGTATATGTAATAATAATAATAATAATAATAATAATAATAATAATAATAATAATAATAATAATAATAATAATAATAATAATAATAATTTGGTCATGTTTATGCAGTATATATTGGAGGTGGTTATCCTTTGAGAGCTGTATGCAATGAAATCTCATTTTAATATATTAATGCACATTTAAAGTGACAATAAAGATTATTCCATTCCATTCCTAGAGATACCCATCACTATGCACAATGCTGTCCTGCACTAGGCCTCCCTCACCCTTATGAGGGATCTGCACTCTGCCTAATAATTTCCACGTTTAACAGCCACATCAGAGAGACCAGAGGGTGGGGGGTCGTTAAGCAAAACCATCTAGCTGATCAGCAACCACCATTTGAAACCATAATGGGCAGGCTCCATTATGATCGTACGTCGAGGACTTCCTGTACTTTAAAAGCACCATATAAGATATATACAATGTGAAAAAAGATATTATTTCCTTGTTCCAAAGCAGGTGGCAGCAAAAGTCATAAAAACCTCACAGAGATGTGACACAAAGTGACATCCATTTCTCTCTGCTCTGAGAGCTTAATGGAAGTTCTTGTGTACCTAACCATTCTGATAAGTCCCTCAGTCACAGGAATACAGCAAGTAAGGCTCTTTTTTTCATACTGTTTAGGCATCTTGCAGATCAGCTGCCCAATTGATAAATTCCTTAATATCAATGAAGGGATTAATACCTATTTCTAAACACAGTCTGGGGTTCAACATAGGGTAGGCAAAATGTGTGCTGCACTAATGTGTTTAATGGGAATCCACACAATTGCCCCCTATTTATAATTCTCCATCTTTTCCAAACATTTCTGTTCTGGTGGGGAAAGTGGAACAGTAGCGCAACGGTCACACATCCAGGCTCCAGAGGTGCACATGTTCACTTGATTCATTTTCACTCTATGCTTTATACAGAAAGCTTTGCTCGAAGGTGACAAACCAAGACCACATATCAGCGAATGCAAACAGGCATATTTAGTTGTGATTGTTCTTATTATGGTAGTATTCATATAGCGGTGGTTAAGGAATTGGGAGGACATCTGGGAATCCCAGCTCCTAGTCCACCCTTAGCCAGGGAAGCTGACTGGGAGACTTTGGGCCAGGCACTTTCCTTCAACTTGGCTCTCTCACTGGTTTTTCTTTCTTTCTTTTCTTTTCTTTCTCTTCCTTCTTGAGGGGGCGATTAAAAATGTACACCTTTATAAAGGAAAGGCGGAATATAATTCCAATAAACCATTCCACGCAACCCCAGTCCTCCAAATGAAATCAGCTCAACTCAGCTACAAGTAAGCAAGAACCGCTGCACCTCCAGGAATTAAATGAAGGTCGCCCCTCTTTCTGTTCCTCAAACAGACTCAGTGTTTCTCAACCTTGACCATTTTAAGGCATGTGGACTTCAACTCCCAGAATTCCACAGCCAGCAATGCTGGCTGTGGAATTCTGGGAGTTGAAGTCCACATGCCTTAAAATTGTCAAGGTTGAGAAACACTGCTCTAACTAAGCCTAGCCGTTCATCGTCTCCCGCCTTTCCTAGGAAGCCCAACGATTTCGGGACCTCCTCGTCCTTCGCCTTCAGGCCAGCCGCCGCCCAAATCGCGCTCGCGTCCCACCTTGACCATCCGGATCATCTGCTTGGCAATGTCGAGATCCCCCTGATGATTTTGGCCAATCTCGGCGATAATAAAGCACGGATGATCTCCGCCGACCAGTCGGCCCGGGCACAGCTCAACCTGCAAAGGCATCGTGGCGATCGCTGAGGAGCGGGGCACTGACCACGTCCACCAAGCACACACCTTACGATCAGACCTAACCGGTCGGTACAAAAGAACCGTTTTACCTCCGCAACCGAAAACCTATCACAGCGCATGCGTCCCGTGTCCACGCCCAGGAGTCCGAGTGCACACGTTACTTCCCCGTCGATGACGAGAAGAGACAGGCGGTGCGCCGCATCCAATCCTAACGAACCGATCAGAAGCCAATCTACGCTACAAGTGTGGCACAGTTGCTGCCCAGGCGCCTTGCGGTAGCGCTCGGGGTCTACGTTTGCCTGCGGGTGCCGAGACTTGGGGGGATTTGATGGGCTGAGGTTTATGCGAAGAGATGATGATTTAAGATCCTTTAAGTTCCAGTGTTTCTCAACCTTGACAATTTTAAGGCATGTGGACTTCAACTCCCAGAATTCCACAGCCAGCAATGCTGGCTGTGGAATTCTGGGAGTTGAAGTCCACATGCCTTAAAATTGTCAAGGTTGAGAAACACTGAGTAAGCTCTTCGTAGTGTGGATCTTGCTCAGTAATTTCTGTGAGACTTATGGCAACCCTAACGTCGTCGCAATCTGCATCTCAAGAGGACCAACTAAGACCGCTTGGGAAAAGCCCAGAGGCAAAACGCGACGCCTGTCCATTATACCCTGCGGTTTCATTATAAATGTAGAGATAGTCTCGTTATTTAGAGCACTAGATGGAGCGTGGGAATGGTGCATTCTGGAAGGAAGAAGAGGTTTAAGGCTAATGCCCATTTCTTATGGCGACAGGCTGAGGAAATTTCATTGCTTAAAATTGTGGGAAGTCAGCCCCCCTCAGAGAAGAAAATATTAAAAGGGCAGAATATTATATTTCCTCAAAGGATCTTAAAGAGGCAGAAAAGCATGCCCAGTTTTTCTTAATAGCCCCAAATCTCCCGAGCAGAAACCAGCTCTGTAGAAATGCAGATGTGATAATCCATTCAGGAAGGTTGTAGCCCTCCAGCTAGAAGCTTAGGAAGACAACCTTAAAATCTACATTAAACCCCATCCAAACTCTAAGACAGGACATAATAGGATTAACCCACAGATGCCAAAGGGGCACACTCAGACTCAGGTCAAAGTACATGACACAGGAAATACAATGCCTCAAACAGGAAACAACCTCAAGAGCCTCAGAGGGTATAAAAACCTACTCCCTACATGTGCTCGCTCTCTTTTCTTCCAGACCCATCTTTCTGTCTAGCTCAGTGGTTCTCAACCTTTTTAATGCCGCGACCCCAACCGGTTGTAAGTCAAGGACTAAACCGGTTGTAAGTCGAGGACTAAACCGGTTGTAAGTCGAGGACTTTCCCTGCCTGGGAACGCCGCGCATGCGTGGTTCCGCCCCCTGCGCCGGCCGAGGCATAGCTGGCAAGCGGCAGAGACGGAGCAGGCCGACCACCAGCTGGCCCAGCCCAAGGGAGGTAAGGCACCCGCCGGAAAAGGGGGAAAAATGGCGGACAAAAAAAATGGCGGACAAAAAAATGGCGGACAGCCTTGCTTGGCGACCCCCATGAAATGGTCGATCGACCCCAAATGGGGTCCCGACCCACAGGTTGAGAAC